ATTATTTGTCTTCAACTTTTCTTTATCATTTCTTATAATGTGAGTCTGATGGCAACAATCTTCCCTGATTTTCTTTTGCCAGAAATACTTTTATTTCACCTTCAGGTTTTTAAAAGATTTAATTTAATTAATCTTTTGTACATTTTAGATATACTTAATGATAACACTCATCATAGGGAATTTGTACCTGTACATGATATATCTTGCTTCTTTTTTTTCCCATTCCTCTCCCCTCCCTCAACCCCTCTTCCCCTCCTTATTTATAAAAGCTTTATTTCCATTTTTTTCCTTCACCTTCAGTTTTGAAGGATTTTTTTCCCCCTGTTTTTGCAGTACTGAGGATTGAATTAAACCCAGGGACTCACATGTGGTAGGTAAGCTCTCTCCCACTTATCTGCAACTTTTTTATTTTATTTTGAGACAAAGTCTTGTTAAGATACACAGGGTGGCCTCAAACTTGCCATTGCCTTGCCCTCAGCCTTTGAGCAGGTAGCTGGGATTACAGGTGTGTGCCACCATGCCCAGCTTAGAGAATATGTTTACTGGAAGTAGAATTGGAGGGGGGTGGATTTAGCTCAGTGGTTCCTGCACCTGCCTCACAAGCACAAGGTCCTGAGTTCGATCCCTGGTACCAAAAAAAGAGAGAAAGAAATAGAATTAGGAGTTTGAGAGTTTAAATATGCTGTTCCTGGGCCAGGAATTTAGCTCAGTTGTTCCACCACCTGCCTGGAAAGCACAAGGTCCCAAGTTTGATCCCCAGTACCATAAATACGCTGTTTCACAGTTTTCTGACCTTCCTGCTTTCAGATCAGAAGTCTTCAGTCATTAAAACTGATTCTCTTATTTGTGATTTGTGGTCTCCTTTTTTTTCCTTTAGTAGTTTCAAGATTTTCTCTTTGATTTTCAGTAGTTTAATTGTCATCTGCTTAGGGATAATTCCCTTCAAAATTATCCTCTTTGGGATTTGCTGATTTATTTTGAGAAATTTGGGGTCTTTTGTCCTCAATAGTTTTTTTCTGTCCCATTTTCTCTTTTCTTATAAGACTCCAGTTACCAACATATTAGATCTTTTGCAATTGTTTCACAAATGCAATTAATTTTGTCTTTTTTCTCTTCTCCAAATAAATTTCTGTTGATTTTATCTTCAGATTTATTGACTCCTTTGTCATATCATTTCTTCGGGTAAGCCTGTCCAGTCAGTTTTTTAATTTCAGATAGTATGATTTTTTTAAATTTTAAATCTCCATTTGATTCTTTATCAGTTTGAATTATTTTCTGAGATTCCCTATTACTGTATTTTACTTACTGTGGCCATATTTTTCTTTCCCTCATTGATGAGTCTAGCATCTAGGTTATTTCAGAGTTGACATCTTGTAAGACCGCTGTCTTTACCAAAATCTCTGAGGAGCTGACTGTAGCGAAGAACACCCGGGAAGGAACACACCAGACAAGTTGGAAAGTGAAACAGACCTTAGTCTGGCCAGACGGCACTCCCAACGCAAAGTAGCTTAGAGAGGCTACTCCAGAGTCCAGGCTCTTTTTATAGGGGCTTGCAGGGGAGTTAACAGGCGAAATTTACAGAAGAAGGAACAAAGGTTTAGTGGTCTTACATTTGTATGTTAATTAGCCTGACCTGTACTGTTAGTCAGCAGATGCTTTGTAGATTGGTCTATAGATAGATAGTGGTGTCCCAACAAAGGGTTGGATAATTATGACTGATAGGGATCTTATCTAGTGCGAACTAAGAAGCATCTTTATCTATTTACTCACATTCAGTCACAGGTGGGGCTAGGGGAGTTTTATGATTACAGAGTTATGCAGTCTTACAATCTATTGATATCTTTTCCCTTGAAAACTCTAGCTTTTATGTATGGAGTAATTTTGAATATATCGTAAACATTGTCAACATTACATTATATGGACTCAGAATTTTTTTAAACTTCTTGTAAGAGTGTTGATTTTTTTTAGCAGGCAATTAACTTGATTACGTTCAAGCTGTGTGCTGTCATACCTAAAAAAAGGCCAGGCCTCAGATTTCAGTTCAGCCTGTTAAGTCTCAATTCCAAGCCATGTTTAGTCTGCTATGCACGTGCATGGATGACAAGTCACCTGAAGCCCAGTGCTGAATTTGAACAAAAGATTATGCATTATTTGTTGGCTTTCTCCTTTCCAAGGTTCCCTCCTACTCTTTTGAAATCCGAGTTGACACAGTTCCCTTCCCCTGTACCTTTGACCTAAAAGATAATGTGGTTTACTTTTTCTCCCTCATGGGTTTTAACCACTCAGCTCTCTCTTAGCACAGTTGTAGTCATCCTTTTACCAAAGCCACAACTCAGGGAAAACTCACACTCTTCTGGTTGTTTGCTCCACACCTCTCTAAAACTTTCTGCACTTTTCTGTCTCTAAAGTCTTCCAGTAGGTTTTTCTGTTTTGTTTTTGGTATGTTTTTCCCCATAGTTATTTGTAGAAGGTTCTATGGTAGATACTCCATACCATAAGTTGAAAAGTCTGCGATTCCTTATTAAAATCTTGTCTACTTACTTCTACCAAACTCTAAGGTCTCTTCTGACTTCTGCCGTGACTTCTGCATAGCTCATAGGAATCTGATATACCTAGACAATCTCAGCTTTTCTACTTGTTCACTTATGTCTTTGGACAACCTCCTTGTCTTGAGTTTCCCTATAGTGTATATAAATTACTTTAGATTCACCATCTATAAATTTGAAATTTTAATAATTCTTTGAAGAAGTAATAATTTAGTTCTAAGTAAAATTATTACACGTGGAATACATAATACAGTGTCGAATACATAATGTATATTCAATAAATGTTTTTAATCCCTCCTCATACATCAAAGGCTCTGACTTTTGTATGACCTTAAAATGGTATTTTGCCTTACTGTACGTAAAGTCCTTTGGGATCTCATTGAGTCTTTTGGCTTCCCTACCCATATTAAAAGCTGGTGACTACAAAATCTAGTCAAAGTGACTCAGGCGATGCAGATTTAACACATTTCTAATGCCCTGTACATGCATGCCTGTCTCATCAGGCAGCATGGGACAGTCACGTTGGGTAATACAAACTGCCTGATGGGACAGGCATGCATGTATGGCCTTGCTGTGAATGTGCTAATGTGTCTCAGTACCTACTGTTTGATAGCTCATGTAGATTTCCCATAATCATTTCAAAATCCATGTCCCAAACTAAACTCTTAATCATTTTCTCTCTCCATCCTCAAATCAATTTCTGCTGCCCCTGTATTTGCATATTCATTTAACAGTACCACTAAATCATTAAAGGAAAAATGCTGTTTTCTTAAATATTTTCAGGCTGGGAACATAGCTTATTAGTAGAATACTTGCCTAGCATGTAAGAGGCCATGGGTTAGCACTGCAAAACCAAAACCAAGCCAAAACAAAAGCCTTTAAATCTTCTCATACATTCCCAGAGCTAATTACCAAGTCCTACCATGTTCTTATCTCTACTCCTGTTGCCCTACTTGTTCAGGCACTCATTTTACATCTGACCATGCTGTGGCCCTGCATTTGTTCACTTGTCTTTAGTCTAATTTATCTAGGTTACTGTTCCAAACAATTTTTCCTTTACTACATTTTTTCATTCTTAAAACTCACTATGGATTTCCTAGTCCCTTCATGATAAATCCCTAATCCCTTGGCAGCCGGTACAGAGTATCTTTTCCTGCTCCTGTCTTCCACGCAGGTGCTTGGAGCCTCTGTGCTCTGCCTAGACTAATCAGCTCTCCCCAGGCTCCTATGCCTTCTAACAGAGGCTCTCTAGCTCCTCCCTTCTTTTCTGGTTCTTTCCTATTTGTCTTTGAAATTCAAGCAACACTTTTTCTTTCTCACATCTTGTCAGCATAAGTTAGAAGACACACCACCCCCCATAATCCCCCAGTGCTCTGCCATAGTACATACATCATGATGCCTTTTTTCCTGTGTGGTCACTGCAAGCTCCTCGAGGGCAAACTGTATCACATGTACTCACTTCTGTAGATAGTATGTTTATTTTCATCAGAGAGTAAGGATTACAGGTGCTGTTCAGAAACTAAATGGATGAATCCTATTTAACCTTTTCTTGTTGAACTTGATCATTTGTATGACCCAAAGGCATCTGTCTTCATTAAATGAAATAATCATCTCTGAAATATATATAACTTGTTTTTTATTTTGAATGTTTATTGACTCTCAATATTTTCTTACCAAAACCCCATAATTTAGGCCTAGGCTTCTACATAAACTTAGCAATGGTTATGCCTTATGTAGAAGTTTTACACCCCTAGCAATATGGGCATTTTAGACTAGGTAACTCCTTGTTAGGGGGGCTGTCCTGCAAGATGCAGCATCTCTGTCATCTACCAGTAAAGGCTAATAGCATATTTCTCCCCCTTCCTGCTCATGACAACCAAATATTCTCCATATCTTGCCAAATACTCCTCAAGGAGCACAGTTGCCCACAGTTGAGAATCACTACCATATAACTCTCAGCAGAAACATAATTTGTGACATGCCTCACTGTTCTTCCCTATGAGAATCACTAGTGTATTTATTATATTTACTCTGGTTAAAAGCATATGATGATGTTCCAAATTTTAAAGAATTTCTTTTGGTCCTGCCTTACTCTTTGGAGAAACCAAAAATAAAATAAAGTGTTCATTTGCTTGTCACTTCATAAATGAAACTACTTTTCCCTTCTAGCATGTCTTCCTTTCTCTCTGAGCTCATCTAACCATTAAATCTTAGGGAGAAACGAGAGCAGTGGGGGAGTTGAAAGTTTTTAGTGCCATGTTCTACATATTTTAAGCTTTGAAAATTGCTACTGACAGCAGTTAGAGAGAGGAGCAGACTTCTGTTGAGTTAAACTATGTATAGTCTGAATTTGATAGAATATGAAAACTGTTAGTCAAAATGTTTCGCACATCTCAGATTTCTTGGTGTTGATTTCTCTGATTTTCCCTTTCCTTCCTTTTTGCTCCCTGCCAGGCTATTCACACTCTTATGGGGAGTGCTGTGCAGCCCTTACTGACTTCAGTAGGAGATGCCATCGAGGCCATAATCATCACCATGCATCAAGAAGATTTTTCTGGGTAAAACTTTCAGTCAGAAATTTACAGGCCTTTACTGCCTTTGTTTTTCATTCCTCCTCCGTATTGAAGATCAATCCTCTGACTACCTAGAAAGGAGGACAGGACAGTGAGGGCTAAAGAAAAAAAGACAGTAGAGATTTGTGTAATTTTAGATATATGGGGGCGGGGAGGTCAGTGCCTCAGAGCAGGCAAAGACAAAGACTCTCCCAAGATTCCCACTATTTATTGGGTTGGTTGTAGGGAGTATCAGATGACTGGAGGGGGCCAATAATCCTAAATTGATGAGGATCTTATAAGCAAAGGAAGTATCAGATGACTCAGAGGGCCGTGATAATAATCCTATGAAGATTTTATGCTAATGAGCATCTTAGCTGTTGAGGAGCTTATGCTTACTTGATTAGGACAGTGAGATGAGAAAAACTTCTTACAACAGTAGGTGGGATGAGTTAAGCTGATAAGGAATTTGTCATTCCCCCCCCAAGGTGAAACCTTTCTCTTTTTGTGTTGCTGCTGGGTTCTCAAAGACCCAGGTATGTCTTCAGCTGATATAATATTGCTCTTGAGCATCACAGCATCACAGGACTACTGAGGCCTCAGACAGCCCTAATCATAATTTAATTATGAAATGATTTTTTCCCAAAAATTATGTAGAATGGCTCCCAACTCCTCCACACCTATTCCCTAAGGGCCCTATGACCTAGGCTTATTCCTTTTGGGACAGCATTGGCCCATTACCTCCTCTTATTCATCATGAGTGCTGTTAAGAGATTTGAGCATTGCTGTTCTTGTTTTCTTCTTTTCTCTCCTTGTGTTGAAACATAGAATGGGTTTACAGGATTCAACTTGGCACTGGAATTTTGGTAGCTTTTACCACCTTCCCTTTCCAGTCTTAACATTTTCCTTGCTTCTCACAAATACCCTCTACTTCAATCAGCTTTTTCCCCTAGTCACAGGTTTGGTATCCCTTGTACAAAAACCCACACCTCTGGAACCATGCTCTTCTGACTTTGAAAACAAATCATGCTCAGCCCCTCCCAGACTGATTTTCCTTCCTCAGAGTTTCTAATCACATTTAATATAAAATAACTGATGTCTGATGACATTTTTGAGTAAGGGAAGGAAGGTACCAAAAAGAGGACCCTAGATCTGGAAGCAATGGGTAAGTCCCTCTGAGGAGGAGAGATTACACATACAAGAGAAGAGACACAGTGTCTCACTTAGGATATTTACCCTTCCACCTTCAACTTCTGTATACTGGCTGTGTTGTAAATATTTTACAGTTTCTGAACAATTCACTACTGTGCTTTCTTAGGTGAGAACCTCTTATTTAAGGCTTTGGAATAGCTAGGAAAACTTGAGCTTTAGCAATACCCAAGCAAGTTTATATTCTAACAAATTAAATCAAGCTTCTAATCCATATGGAGGATTGATAATATGTATTTTTAAATATTTTATTTTACTTATATTGGCACATGCTTATAGAATTTGGTTTAATATGTTATTTTTCTACTGCTCAAAGAAAAGATTGCAACTAACTCAGTCAAAACTCTTGAGACTGTTCTCCAGCATGGTACCCAGATTAAACTGTGCTTTTTATGAGCATAAAAAGATATAAAAGACTAACTGCATGCTGCCTAAATATGAGACTTACCTCACCTTCACAGATGTACATAAACTGAAAACAAAGGGATAGGAAAGACATTCCTTACTGTTGAAAACCAGACAAGAGCAAAGGTAGATAGTTATACTTAAAGTAGACAAAATACACTTTAAGTCACAAATTGTAAAATAAGGCAAGGTCATTATGTAATGATAAAGGGGTCAGTCAAGTGGGTATGATAATTATAAATACATGCACCCAACATCAGAGCACCTGAATATGTAAAACAAGGATTTAAAAGATCAAAGGGGAGAGATGGATTACATTGCAATAGTGGACCATGGGCCGGGGATTTAGCTCAGTAGTTTCGCCGCCTGCTGTGCAAGCTCAAGGACCCGAGTTCGATCCCCGGTACCAAAAAAAAAAAATAGTGGACCTTCAGTGATGGACAGACAATTCAGACATAATTAATGAGGAAACCGAGGACTTGAACTGTATTTTAAATCAAATGGACAGATGCAGAAAATACCAACAGAATACACATTCCTAAGCACACATGGAATGATCTCCTTGGACAAGTCCTATGTTTGACCACAAAGCAAGTCTGAACAGATGTAAGAGGACTTAGATCATAGTACATATCTTTTCTTGCCACAATAGCTTGAAACTAGAAATCATTAGCAGGAGAAGTCTTAGAACATTCACAAATATATGAAAATTAACCTGCCTTCTAACAGTCAGTGGGTCAAAGAAGAAACCAAAAGAAACATAAAAAAAAAAATCTTAAATGACAGTGGAAATACAACATACCAAAATTTATAGGATGCAGCAAAAGAATTTTAAGAGGGATATTTATAGGAATAAATGCTATCAAAAAAGAAGAAAGATCTTGAATAATCTAATGTTATACTTCAAAGAACTAGAAAAAGAACAAATCAAGACTAACATTAGCATAATGAAGCAACTAAACATCAGAGAAGAAATAAATGCAAGAGAGACTTAGGAAAAAAAAGAACAGAATTGGCTTTTTGAAAAGATAAAATTGTCATTGGATAGCCCCTTTGATAGAAAATTCAAAAGAGGAGACACTAGAACTGGTACTACAGAAATACAAGGGATCAGAGGAATTTCTATGAAAATTAATTGTACACCGACAAATTGGATAACCTAAATGGCTCATTAAAAATACAGAAGATTGGGGCCGGGGATTTAGCTCAGTGGTTCCAGTGCCTGCCTCACAAGCACAAGGTCCTGAGTTCAA